GGACCTAGCCAGTGGACTAAGCCCAGCACAGATACGTTTCACGACATTGATGATGTGTTATTAACTTCCAATTCTCTTGCAGATTTAATCCAGGCAGCTCCAACGCTGCTAAGTCATTTGGAACAATGTGGGTGGGCCGTGAACACAGCCAAGGTTCGAGGACCTGGGCTGTCAATCAAATTCCTGGGATTGGTCTGGTCGGGTAAGATGAAGGTCATCCCAGAAGCTATTATAGATAAGATACAGGCATACCCTCAACCCACAACTGTAGCTCAGCTACAGACATATTTGGGAATTTGGGGGTATTGGAGAGCTTTTGTACCCTATATGGCCCAAATGGCACACCCCCTGTATGCATTAACAAGGAAAGGAGCCCTCTGGGAGTGGACTGATGAAGTAGAACTAGCTTATCAGGGTACAAAAAGGGCAATACAGCAAGTACAGGCTTTACAAGTGGCCGACCCCACTAAGTCTTTTTGAGTTAGACGTACATATAACCCAGGAGGGGTTAGGATAGGGTTTGTGGCAGAGACAGGACTGATTCTGACCACCTGTAGGATTCTGGTCTCAGCTCTGGAAGTGTGTTGAAGTGCATTATACCCTAATAGAGAAGCAGTTAGCAGCTGTGTATTCTGCCTTGATGGCCACTGAAGCTATTACAGGAATTGTCAAAGTCCTAGTAAGGACGACATAACCCCATAATAGGATGGCTGCACACACGGGCCACCAGCCCTAAAACGGGTGTAGCTCAGACTCCCACTTTGTCTAAATGGGGAGCATATATAGAACAAGAGAGCACTGTGTCAATGAGTCTTCTGTCCAAAAACTTGCAAGCTGTGCTAGGCCCAGTAGAGGTTGTGGAGAACATTTTGACACAACCGTTACACATGGAGGCGGAGGCCACACCTTTCCATGAGGGACAGGGACCTATCACAGAGCAAACTTGGTATACAGATGGCTCTAGCTTGGGACCTTCAGCATTGTGGACAGCTGTTGATGTCCAGCCCTTAACAGATATGATGTGGTATGAAAACAGCACAGGGCAAAGCAGTCAATGGGCTGAATTGAGAGCAGTGTGGATGGTGATAAAAAATGAGCCTGGGCCATTAACCATCTGTACTGACAGCTGTACTGTGTACAAAGGTTTAACCCTTTGGATCTCTACTTGGAAATATCAGTGGTGGATGGTAGGCCACCGACCCCTGTGGGGACAAGCCATGTGGCAAGAGTTATGAGAATTGGGACATGAGAAAGAAGTTAACTCTTTTCCATGTCACAGGACATTTCCCCTTAGCCAGTCCAGGAAATGATGAAGCCAATGCCTTGGCTAAGGTAAGATGGCTGAGGAGAGCCCCAGCTACTGATGTAGCCCAATGGTTACATCGACCAATGCAGCATGCTGGCAGTAAAACCATGTGGATGGCGGCTCAAAGATGGGCCCTGCCTATAAAATGGGAAGATGTAGTGAATGCCTGTCATGCTTGTCCAGTGTGTGCTCAAGAGAGTCCACACCCCTGGCTGATGCCCCATACAGATGGGCAAATAACTCAAGGAGGGTGCCCCTGACTCAATGGTAAGTGGACTTTGTCGGACCACTGCCAAGGTCGGAGAATTTCAGATACATCTTCACCACTATTGATACAGCTACTGGTCTTCTGTTTGTATGGCCTTGTAAGGCCCCAGACCAGGTAAACACTGTGAAGGCACTGAATAGCTTTACTGTTATGTACGGTCAGCCTGTAGTCATAGAAAGTGATAATGGAACCCACTTTACTGAACATGGGGGTTAGAGGTGGGCCTCCCCGTCATCCATTCAGTGGAAGTTACATGTGCCATATCATCCCCAAGCAGTAGGAATGATTGAACAGTACAATGGTCTTTTTAAAAAGGGACTAAAGCTATCTACCCAACCCACATCCCTGAAGGGGTGGACATGGCGATTATAGCCGACAGTCATAATTCTAAATAAGAGATCCCACAAGGGTGGCCCCTCTCCAGTGGAAGCTCTGTTGCATAGGGCTGCAGCACCTATACAGCTGTGAATCACTACTAAAGATAAGCTTTTGAAACCAAGGTATGGCAAGAATGGAAATATTCTCTTACCAGCCCCAACCTGTTTGCAACAGGGACAGCCAGTACAATGGGAATGGTCTTGGAGAATAAAAGCCCCCCCCAATATATGCTGGGTAAGTTTAATAGGGCCTTGGGGAAAAGGATTAGAGGAAGACTTGTAAGTTTCACCTTGGGTGACAAGTATCTGGCCTTCTCGAGTAAAGGTAACATGGCCTGAAACAGATAAGCACTCAGTTCCAAAGGGCACATTTGTATTATCATTATGGCCAATTCTGAGTTCCCCTATACTGTTACATGTAGAACCTACAGATCCAACAGTGTTAGCAGATAAAGTATGGTATCATAAGCTGGGTAAGATAACTATTCCTGCAACCATCCTTTCTCAGGATGGCAAACTGGCATGTATCTTACCAGAGGGGCAAGAACTTCTCCTATTGGTACCAGGGGGGGGGGGGGGGGGGTGCCCATAGTATTCTGGCTGCAGGCACTGCACCAGAGTCACGTGATTGATGTGTCAGCCTGCTGAATATGCATTGAACTTCCCATCAGTATGATTGCAGGATTAGCATGGAGGATCACACCAATGGTGACTACTAACTGGACATATGCAACTGACAGTTAAAAGGACAGACCTGCAAGCCTTAAGGCATATTGAACGGACAATAGGTTATGTAAATGGAAGGGTCATTTATCCTCACTAAGAGAACATCCTGGAAGATTCTGAAGCATAGATTGTATGGCAAGGGACCCTAAAGGGGTAGATTGTTGGGAAAATAGATAATTTAATGCAGCCCCCTTGCCTTAGGTCTGGTTGGGGTAGTGCAGTTGGGGTGGTGCAGCGCATTCTTCCTAAATAAGTTGTGTGTGTGTGGAGTTAATGCGCATGCATGGCAACACCACCATTTTGGCTGGCATCTCCTGCTTCGGGTGTCTGCCATATGCAGCCATGCTCTCCAACCTGTGGCTCCCAGGACCTTTTTGCTGGTTACCTAGCTCATAGACCTGCATATGAAGGGTTTGTGACCTAGTCTGTGAACGGGCTTGAGGGGTCTGTAAGCTCCAGACCCAGCCCTAGCTCGACAATTGGCCCAGTCGGCAGGATTATGGACAAGTAAAAGAGCTCAACAACTGGTGTAGTCGTGTAGCTTTACACACAGAAAAATCTTATTAAGCTATAGAAATTGGGGATTGTTTAAATTCAATCAAGTTCTTAGAGTTCTATAGGAAAAAACTATTTTAACTAATTTATAATCTGAATTATTGTCAGAAGACATAATTGCCAGTAGGAGGTGTGTGTGTGTGTGTGTGTGTGTGTGTGTGTGTGTGTGTGTGTGTGTGTGTGTTAGTTGCTGATTAAAATGTTTATAAAATCTCATAAAAAATTCATTACCATTTCTGGATTTCTCCTTCATTAGTACTAGACATTCTGATAAATGTATATGCATTGGAGTAAATTAAATCATATTAATTTTATTATTTTGCAATATAATTCAAAAGACAAAATTATGATGAATACTTTATGACTGTTGAGGCACATTCTGGGGTTAATATATCTGCACCCAATTTAGAGAAATTCAGGTGTTAGAAAAAGTAATTCAAAAACAAGCAGAAAGGAGAAAAATGAAGTTCTTATAAAATGTTTACATTGTCCTTGAATTTTCAGAACGCACTGGAGTCCATTCCACATGCTTCTGTAGAAGGGTACAGAGCCTGTCACCAACACTGCTGCTCCCCCAACCATCACCATCAAGGAAGAAATGCTAATTCCAGTGGAAAGATTCTAGGCTACCGACTGAACAATTGGACTGAAGAGACAGAGCCATTGTGAGTGCCAAGTTACCCACATACTCTTTCTATGTGGCTGTAGTAATTGAAGAGTTAAACTTAACTCCAATCAGTCTCTTAAATCTCAAATGGATTTAGGATGCACTTCTCTTAAGACCCTGGCTGAAACAAAGTATTCCAACTTATTGTACCAGAGACTTCTGTAATGGAGTTTAGAAGATAAACGCAGCTAATACAGTGTTGTTTCATGTTCCTTTGCCAGTATTTCTTCTATATACATCCCTTTCAAGAAATTATTGGGTAGGAGGGGTGACTGTGTTTTGGGACAAGACCTGATATTCGTGGTACAACAGCCAAATGCTTCCCAGACTTTTTCATGTGTCACACAAAGAAAATTATAATATTATATTCCATGGGGAAAAATAACAGGGATAAGAGTGCCCACATACAGTTTGTGAGGAGAAAAAAATTACATTGCCTAAACATTATGTAAAAATAAAACAAAATATAAAGTATTGGGGAAAAGAGTACATATTGAATTTTGTGCAAATATTATATAATGCTCCTTACTGGAGCTTCAAGGGGTGGATGTCACTATACCTGTCAGCTACAGAGACAATATTATAAAGTACTTTCCAACATTTTCCTAAGGAAATTAAGTAGCTCCTGTAACCATAACTTTTCTACCAGGTATAATGCTTTAAATGACTGTACACAATTCCTAACCAAGATGTTTTCACCATAATCTCCTCAATATCTTGATAGTTTCTACTTTTTCCCTCAAACAAGCCAATGATCAGAAATATTAAAACTTATCTCTTACGATAAAATGCAAACTTTACAGTAGTTAAAATTGTCACTAACAGTAATTTTAAATGTCTTATGATAATGCAAAAATATTTCAAATCCAATCAAAAATTTGTAATCAAACATTTGAAAATAATGATCAGGCTCTAACGTAGAACAGGCATGCACCATTGAAGCAACTGGTTAGAATATCATTAAGTGGAAACATTAGCCACAGGGTGGATACAGATAGTAAATATATGAGAAGACACATGTGGGGCACGGCCTGAGGCTAAGCCTCCCAGGAGCCCCTGCCCAGCCACCTCCCAGCCCTCTCCCCTCACCGATGGCCGCACCTTGGGCTGCAAGCTGTGCTCCTTGGGCACCTGGACCACGAACTCCTCTGGTAGCTCCGCGAGGCCCTTGTCCGCGATGAGCAGTGGCACGCTCTGCAGCTGGCTGCTGAAGGAGATGTCTGGGTGGTGGAGCGCCTCCTGGGCTGCGCTCAGCATGTCGCAGTGAAGCAGCAAGGGCTGGATGTCGCTCACTGTGCTTGCCACCTGCGGGGACCGCAGGGCGCACCATCAGACCCCGCTTAGCTCAGGCTGGCCTCATAGGAGCCCTGATAGAAGCTACACGCAAGGCTCTCTGCTGCAGGCAATGGGCCCAGGACTCCAGCCACCCCAGGCCCCACTCAGACAACCCTAGAGCTGGGGAGATCATATGTCCTGGCACAGAATGTGATACTGTCTTGTTAGTCACTATCTTAATTGAGCCAAAAAATCTCACCCTAATCCCTAACAATGACTAGAAAATTAGACAAAATTATTAAAAGCAGAATAAGCTACCTGAAAAAAATATAAATACTATTTATATTTTTATAGAGTCACAGCATTCTCATGTAAATTATGGGCACTAATGTCTATATACATGTTAATAAAAGCACTGGTCACTGAACTCAACTTTCATACAAAAAAAGCTTGACAAGGTAATGGGTTAAGAATGTTTCAGAAAGTTTTTGTTTTATTTGTTTGGTTTGGTATATGGTTACACCTATATGGAATGTTTTATATTAATTTATATGTTTTCAGGTCATGTAACTAACATTTTTGAAAGATGCTTTATTAAAGATCTGTGATGGACATTAAGGTGAAAAGGATATACATACATTTTTGCCATTTATATACACATTGACTTTACTGACAAATGGTACATATTACATAAATGAATAAATATGGAAGACCAAGACAATAATGAGAAAATAAAATTGTACACATATGATTTTTTTAACATAATTCACAAAACAGTCATATATTATATGCTATGCAAACAGAGCTATTTAAGTACAGTTTTTTTTCCAGTGAATTAATACATTAGATACACATTTTTCTACACTAGTTGCAACTAGTTTAATAAGTAGGAATGATAATAAAAATGTACCTTACATTTAAAAAAATAAGATTTTACCAAGAAAAAGATTTTGCTTTACATAAATATTAACATACTATAGCATGCATGTTTAAAAATACATTAACTATGTTATATGGCTAACATTAAACAGTCAGGAGAGAAGCTAAAAACATCAATACTGCAAAAGAATTTTATGACCATCATTCTAACACTGGAAGTTTATACAGTGCTGCTATAATATCTTGATATGTAAAATATTTGCAAATTAAAAATGAAAAACATATCCCTTCTAAATCACATGAAATATTACAGCCCTCAGAGGAAAAAAATCATATTAAGAAATTTGTTAATCTATGACTGAAAATTTTAAAATATAAATCTGAGACATTGCTCTAAAATATTCTTTAACTCATTATAATGTGTAATTTTTAAAATATCTATGCAGAAGCTAATCTGAATGCTGTTTTGATAGCCTGTGTGAATAAAAAAGCTGTCAAAGGAGGAAATGAATTTTAAGACCAAATAAATCATGATAACCAAAAATCTCTAATTAATTGCCTTCTTTGATATTTCACGATAGTGGTATCTTTTCTGACTGACTTCTAAAACATCCCTCTCCTCACTGCTCAAAATAACAATGTGACTAACGTTAGAATATTGTTTATATAAATACTTATAGGCATGCTTTTCCTCAAATCTTTATAACTACTATATGGAAGGAAATTAGCAAAAGAGGTTATAAAGATACATATCCTACAAGTTTCAACTATAATAAAATAGAAAGATTATTCCCTCAACCAGGTTAACATATAAGCACATTTCAAGTGGTAGAGCATGTGCTTATTTGTTCATTCATTCAACAAATATTGAGTCCTCATTATGTGTCAGGCTCTCTTTTAGGTGCTGGAGAATTTGGAGAACAAAAAAACCCACATACCTACTTTAACAAATTATACACCTAGTGAGAGAAATAGAGAATATACAAATAGATAAATAATAAAGAAAAAATATCATGTACATATGAGTAATCTACAGTAAATTTAAATAGGCTGCTTTATTTGGGTTTTTATGGAAGATATATCTGTAAGGATAAAATTTAAACTGAATTTTCACTGAGACCTGAAGTTGCTAGTCATACAAAAATCAGGAGTAAAGAGCATTCCAGACTACTGCAAAAATCTCCTGGCTGGAATCACCTTGGTCTATTCAAGAAACCACATGATGGCCAATTTGGCTGATTATAGTGGTCAAGGAGAACAGTCTGGAATGAGATCGGAGAGGTAAGAAACAGCCAGATCATGAGCTTCGTAAACCAGGATAAAGAGTTCAGTTTGGGGACAATCAAATATCTGTTTAGGATTGTTAATAAAACTCTTGGGGAGGGAGAGTAGGACAGGATTGGAAACGACATGAGAATGGTGATCTCCTCTGAACTAGAGATCAATTATTTCCAGGAAAGGTCCATTTCTAGAGTCGGCAGAGAACGACAATTGATTTTAAAGTGCATATAGAGTGGAATCAAGCAACAGCTGAAAAATATAGTGCCTGTATCTAAATAAAAGAATCTCAGCATAAACAAGGAATAAGAACATGCTCCAACTAGAACTAGAAAGCAAGCTCTTGGGAATCTAGAAAGAGTAGGTTTGAGTCAGGGAATAAAATGATTTCGTAAAGGGAAGAATACAAAATACCAGGAGGTTAAGTAGACTTTGACTTTAAGTTGGAGGAAATTAGACTCTGATGTATTCTATAAAACTGAAGCATCTTAATGTTTCTACAGTTCACACTCTTATTTAAATTCACTATCTCTGTAAAAGGAATCTAGAGTCACTGATCAGTGGCGGCTAAACAGAGGGGCTGTTACACAGTCCGCATGGATAGAGGCTATTGGAACAGAGCCAAAATCTTAACTTTTGTTTAAAAATCTTTTATATGTTACACTTAAGATATATGACTTCTGGGGAAACATTTATTTGAATTATAAATATAAATCCAGTGTGTCTTCCTGAAACTATTATAAAAATAAGACTTCAAGTTAAACATCACAGTTATAATTCTGGTATTCCATTAGAAGCATGGAATCTTAAGTCTGGAAAGGATCCTTCTGCTCACATGCTAAATAATAACCCCTAGAACAGCCCTTCTAAAAATCTCCTAAGCTTCATGTGAAGAGGCCATGATCAGAAACTCACTCTGTCCTTGGGGCATAACTGCATTTGATGCAGCAAGTTTCCTCATATCAGGCAAGGCAATATCTATATCACAGCACTTATCTAAATTCTGCATGTGGGCTACAAAAACAAATCAAGTTACTCCACCAAGGTACTTCTCTTCGGATATTTGAAGATAACTTTCACATTCTAAATGTCTCTTTTCATTTCCAGACCCTTAAAGACAAAGGATTCTTTTAAATGAATTATAAAAAATATCCCGGCATGTTGCATTATTAACTGTGAGGCACCCCGACCCCAGAGTCTTCCTCCCATCTCCATTTGAGACCACAGTTTCAAACTGTTGTATGCAATTTTAAGATGTCCCAAAGGTAGTTTTGGTTCTGGGACAGGAAGTGATGACAAGGCCAATGCATTCTGTTCTTTCTTTCCAACCTTCTTCAGAGAAAGAGAAATTTTATTCTTATCTTTTTTTTTAATTGCATATCTGATTAAGACTTCATTTGAAAATAAAGGGGATTTGCTATTTTTTTTAATGTTTGAATTGCTTTAATTGTAGATTGTATTTAATTCTTATTATAATTAATGTGAATATTGCCATATCCAAATCTTCCACATAATCACTTCAAATTCAGATATTTTTACATTTTTAAATACTTTGATTCTGCTTTGCTAGTGAGCAAGTGTAAACGTGAAAATTATTATTTCACAGCCTACCAAAATGATTAAAATATTTATCCTATGTTTGTGTACAGTCTCCCAAACATCAACAGCCATCAGAGCATAAAAGTTCCAGAACATTGGTTGTGGGTAGATACGAGGCAAGAAGAAAAAGAAAAATAATGAGTATTTAAGAGGTAAAGTATTTGTGATGGTAGTACCAAAGTTTTCATATTATCTGTGGAACATACGATTGAAATAAATATGAAAAATATCAGAAGTCAATGGTATATACTTTCAGAGATCAATAATGATTTATAAATAATAAAAATATTAAATACACATTGTATCTAACCAACTTCAACGCTTCTGTTTTCTTTTTCTCCTTAGATGAGTAGCTTTGTAATTCAGTCAATTATTCAGCTTCTTCCTGGAAGCGGCTATTGATCATAACAGTGAGCTTGGAATCCAAACAAAACAATGGGCTACAGTACTGAAATACTTCTAAGATTAGAGAAACGCCAACAAAACACCACTAAGCATATTTATCAGTCACAGTGATTTAATTTTCATAAACTAAGAAGGTTTCTCACAAGTCATTTATTTTTGTGTTTTGGGGTAATATTTTACCATGTCTTTTTATTAACTATGTTAAAATGTACCCCAAAGGACAGACAAAATGGATTCAACTAAGGTTAAAAGAGACATTTAAATTGTTAAACAGCACCAAATGGCCACAGTGGGAGGGAAAGGGCAGACAGGTATTGCTCAGCCTGCAAGTATACATCTTACTAACTGTTATGAAGTTTTCTTTTCTGTAACTAAACGAAGGCAATGCTCATAATGATAAGGCCAAATCAGCTATAACTGAGAATTCTACACTGACCTTAAATACATCCACCTGGTGCCAGCCACCAACCCCCCCTCCTCATTCTTGAGGGCCCACTATGTCTCCAATTAGAAAACAGACTCCAAGGACATTCTTTGCCCTCTTCTCTGATAACAGAGACCACATCAAAACCAGACATAGCTGGTCTATAGAGCCTGAGCAATACCACTCACTGTGCAGGTGTGTATCCTTCTTCATAAATATTCACAGCATTTCTGTAAGTTCACTGAATATGTATGCAAACCTGATCCTAAGAGGCATGAATACAGCCTCTTCCCTTTCCCAAGCACAGTGCTCATCTTTGGTCTTGCCAAGGACTGATCTGCAGATTATTAAAAAAAAAAAAAGTCTTCCTTTTCTCTCTGGTGGTTTTCTTTTGTTAACAGTTTGTTAATTATGAGCCATACAGAGTTTAAAATGTACACTAACA